GCGGCAGGAGGCCGTGTCCATGGTGCCCGCGCTGCTGCTCGGCGCGGCGCCGGGCTGGGCCGTGCTCGACGCGTGCGCTGCGCCGGGCAACAAGACCGCGCAGCTCCTGGAGCGCTGCGGCCCCGGCGGCCTCGTCGTCGCCAACGACCTGTCCAAGAAGCGGTCCTACGCGCTCGCGTGCCACTGCGCCGCGCGGCTCGGCGTCCGCGCGGCTCGGCTCGTCGTCGCGTCCGGAGACGCGGCGCGCCTGCCCGGGCCGGACGGCCGCTTCGACGGCGTGCTCTGCGACGTGCCCTGCTCCGGCGACGGCACGATCCGCAAGGCGCCGCGCGTGCGCGAGGCCTGGGCCTGCGACGGCGGCGACAGGCTCCACGGGACGCAGGTCGCGATCGCGCGGCGCTGCGCGGCGCTTCTGCGGCCCGGCGGGCGCATGGTCTACAGCACGTGCTCGTTGAACCCCGTCGAGAACGAGGCCGTCGTCGCGGAGGTGCTGCGCCTCGAGCCCACGCTCGAGCTCGCGGCCGCGGCGTCGCCGCTGCCGGCGCGGCCGGGGCTGACGACGTGGGCCCCTTGCAGGGACGACGGCGGCGGCGTCGCGCGCCTCGACGACGACGGCGGCAGCCGCTTCCCGCCGAAGCAGGACGCGCCGCCGCTCGAGCGGTGCCTGCGGTTCCTGCCGCACGACGGCGACACGGGCGGGTTTTTTTGCGCCGTTCTGGAGAAGCGCGCGTCGGCGACGCCGCCTCCGCCGCCGCCGCCGCCCCCGGCGCCGCCTCTCGTCGACGGCGCCTACCGGCCCATGGGCGCCGACGCCTGGGCGGCGGTCGCCGACTTCCTCGACCTCGCGGCGGCGCCCGGCCACGTCATGGTCCGGTCCGAACACGGCGAGGCCGCGTGGCTGCTGAGCGACGAGGCGCGAGACGAGGCGTCGCGGCTCCAGGCCGCGGGCCGCGCCGTCGAGCACGCGGGCGTCAAGATCCTCGACCGGCGCGGCGGCGGCGCCGCGGGCGGCATGCCCCACCGGCTCTGCGGCGACGGCGTCGCCGCGCTCCTGCCGTCGCTCGGCGACAAGCGGCGGCTGAGGCTCGACGCGGCGGCCTACGCGGCGCTCCTGGAGGACGGCCGGACCGCGGCGCCGGACGACGTCGGCGTCGGCTCCCTCGTCGCGACGCTCGGGGACGGCGAGCTGCCGATCGTGCTCTGGAAGGGCGCGCGACGGTCCGCGTCGCTCATGAGCGCCGCGGACGACGTCGCGCGGCTTCGCGGCGTCCTGGGCCGACGACGAGCGGACCAGGCCCGGTGCGTCCTGTCCTAACGCGTTACGTGTCGAAGAAGTAGGGCGGGTAGGGCAGGCCCGAGTTGAGCGGCGGCTTGATGCGCTGGCGCACCTCGAAGGCGCCCTCGTCGACGGCCTTGAGCCCGCCGTGGACGGCGACGTCGGCGGCGTTGCGCAGGCCCACGTCGAAGGCGCTCGCCGCGCCCCGGTCCGCGGCGGAGTTGACGAGGCGGTTGCCGCGGACGCCGTCGAAGACGAAGGCCGGCCGGTCGTCGTTGTGCGCCGCGCGCACGTCCCACTTCTCGAGCGTCACGTCGACGGCGTTGCGCACGAAGGCGCCGAAGGCCGGCGACGGGCCGACGTTGCGCTCGACGTAGGACTTGGGGTTGTGCGCGGGCTCCCAGAGCTTCATCGCGGCCTCCCCCTTGCCCCAGACCTCCGCGCGGACGTTCGTGATGGAGATCCGCGGCCCGAGCGGGTGGTTCTCCAGGGCCTCGTAGGCGGGCACGGACCGCTTCGAGCCCGACGTCCACCGGCCCTTGGCCAGCCCGTCCAGATGCGTCGAGTAGTTGTAGGAGTAGCCCTTCCACGCGTTCGGCGCGGACACGTTGTGCGCGAGCACGTTGTTGATGGACACGTCGGAAATGGTGCCGATCCACTCGTCCATCACAACTTGAGCATCGCCGATGCCCGGCCGCCGCAGGCGCGCGCCGACGACGATGAAGGCCAGGGCCTGCACGTTCTGCGCGCGGATCCGCTCGTAGCGGACCCGGGAGATGTGGGACCCGTCCATGGTCACGATGGACATGGCCGCCTTGGCGGCGCCGAGCACCGTCACGTTGTGGAATAAGATGTCGGAGATGTTGCCCACGGTCTCCGAGCCGATCTGCAGGCCGTTGCACTTCTCCGAGCGGACGACGGAGTTCGTGACCTGGACGTCGTACATGGGCAGGACGCGCCGCAGCGCCCAGTCCGACTTGAGCGCGATGGCGTCGTCGGAGCCGCCGCGCACGTGCAAACGGTCGAGCTTGACGTGGCGCGACGAGATGACGTTGACGCCGTCGCGGGCCGCGGCGACGTCGACGTGGCGGACGACCGCGTGGGACGCGTTGTTGAGCAGGAGCGTGATCCAGCCGCCGCGGGCGAGGCGCAGGGGCTCGCCGGCGCTGCCGTGGATGGCGACGTTCTTCGACGACTTTCCGGGCACTTCTGGTGCCAAAAACCTATGGCTAGATGGCATCACGGACAGCCCCGTCGACGGAACCAACCTCCTAGAGCCGCCGGTCGAAGCCTCTCGACTCAAAACTGCCGCCGTAGGGCCGGTTCCGTGCCTCGAGATCCGCCCCGTACTCGATTCGGGGCCCCGCCGACCCGTAGGTGGTCGAGATTCCTGTGTTATTTGGTGCGGC